GACAAACTGACCTGAATGATCATGTCAATAAGAAGACTGCTTCACATCTCAGTTTTTTTAAGTTGTTTTCTTGCGTTTCAGAATAAGAATAAAATCTCCTCTTCTTATAACTATTTAAAGCCTAATTTAGTGGCTCAGGAAATATGCAATCCATTCATGTGAGGCAGGGTTGTTAACCTAAACTGGGTAAAAGAGGCGAGTGGGTTACGAACATGTAGAAAAGGGGATAGCGTACAGGAGCCTATTGTTCTGTGTTCAGTTTCTACAATTAAAACAGATATTCATGGAGCAGTCTGTAACCCTGCTGAGCCAAAGACAGCTGATCTGAGTGTGGAAAATTCTTATAACAGTAAGACACCTACCTTAACTCTACGATTAATGTTGAGGAACTGGCAAGTCTTGTCATAAAGCTCTTCCAGTTTTTCTCTATCCCAGTAGAAGTCGGGTGTTATTAGCAGGTCTGAACTTAGATTTATACGGTGTCTAAAAGAATGGGTACAACAGTAGTTCAAACTTCCTTTTGGTGAATATAGGAGCAAATATTTACATAGCAGTTAAAAGAAACAGGAAAATTTTCCTACAATTTTAAGTAAAATATGAAAGTCTCCTTTCATAATAAAAATACGAGTGTAATGATTGCATAAAATCAGTCATATCTCCTGCAACTTTTCTGAGAATACCATACTGTGTAGCAGTTTTGAGCATAAATGACTTTTGCCTTACAGCAACGTTGCCGCCTCGGCTAGTGACCTTCCTTAACTTTGGCATCTGCAGGGAAGTCCTTGACTAAGCTGCTAGCTTGCTGAAGCTGAAGTCGTTACTGGGGAGCTCCCCGACAGCTTGTTTCTCTCTCAGCACCGCCAAGCATGACTGGTACTGCATGCTGGCTGTGTGAGCATAGCACACCTTTCAGAATCAGGCTACTGTCTCGACATTATAAAAGCTAAGAGCTAAAATCTCCCACCCTCAACCTACTGCTCACATAAGTCTTTGGACACTTAAAACATCATTGTTCATTTTAAAATAGGAATTGCTTTTTTATTTACCTCTTTCTTCACTGATTTGGAGTTGTTTTGGTTTTTTGTAAGAGTGTGTGTAATGCTCTGTATTCCCAATGGCCAAATTTCAATTGACAGGGACCCCCCCCAATTCTTACAATGTAGCATTAGTTTCTGAATAAGTCATGGGAAGAACAGAACTCAGAGAAAGTTTTACTAACTCTAGGCCATAGTTAACAGTTCTACCTACGCCTGTGCTTCCTCCTGGTATCCTTCGCATGTGTCTACTATAATTACTGGTTACAAGACGTGTGCTGCTGGACCCAGGGAGGGAAAAGGGTGTGGAATTCGGCCATTTACAGTATGCTGCTTAATGCCTGTCTACAGTTGAGATGCCAGTGGTGAGATGGTGAGCCAGTGGGTCCTCTGACTAACGTAACAGTACACACAGTCTCCAGCCAAAAGAAGATTGAAGGAATCCCACCCCCCCACCCCCGTTTAGCATGTATTCTGGTCTTTGTATCATGTGTAACTTAAAAATTAAGTTCTGTGTAATACAATGTCTTGGTGTAAACAAAAAAAGTTACCTTAATGCAAAGAGTTCTCCAATTTTCTGCATTACATCTGCATGAGACAATTTCACCTTCCTTCGTGACTTCAGTATCTGTGAAGTAACAAGTTTTTCACTGCTTTGGTCAAGTAGCATGTACTAGGAGTTAAGAAGTCTGAAGTTCTACAGGCTGAAGTATATATATAAGTTAAAATCTGAATGCATATCATTCTTACTAACATTTGAGTTTTGTTTGCTGAGTGCCTTGCTTATCTAGCATTGTATGAGCATGCAACCGTTCATCAGGTTTTTCAATAAATCACTGAGTATGCCATCAGTATCAATACAAAATCCTGGAGTGTTTTCTATGAATGATTTCCTGAACAAGAGATCATTTGTTTTTTTCTTCCTACTATTGTTATTTTTAAGTCATGACAGTGTTCGTTTACCTTGCCACTACTTAGAGCATTTTTATAGACTTTTTTTTCTTACTACAATGTATTACCATTTATTTCCTTCATTAAAAGAAATAAAATAAAAATTATTATTTCTCTTTTGAACCCTACGAACCTCATCTTTATATATGATGTCAGATGGACTCTATAGTTTGTCTCATGAAAAACTGTGGTTTAAGTAATTCACTCAAACTCTTCATTATATTGAAGTTAAAGCACATGACTTTCAGCCCAAGCTGCCACACACTGTGTTTGGCCAGGTTTTTAAGTGCTGCTTGTCCTGTTACACATACACATTCAACAGTGGCAGGTGACAGTGGCACAACACGGGACATGTTATCCCAGTGCAGAACCCCATGCCCAAGCCTTTAAAGGCTGATGATTTCTTGTCTCACCACTTCGCAGGTGTTCTGAGCTTCTCTGTGTCAGTGGCTTTACCATCAAATGTGTTAAGCATTCAGTTGCTCTCTCCATTTCCTTAGCTGTATCTGGACCCATCTTTTGCAAAGCACAGGAGGAAAGGAGGGGCGAGATACAAACAAGACCTCACCTCAGGAATTGACTGGATAGATTCCACAAAGTTATCCAATAATGATTCCCAAATAGCCAGCTTCACTGCAACACAGAGGTGACAGAGCGGAACACTATGAGAGAGATATATGCTTTCAAGTAATCATAACTTTAAATCTGCCAACGTGCTGCTTGAAGACACGTTGACACATACAAACATTATTTGTAGCAAGTTACCATTAGTATTGTACAATCCATGTTCGTACATCTACGGACAAACATGGGTTGGACACTGACACAGCTCTGCATGCAGAACCACCCTGAGTGCAGCGCTCTCCTCCCAGTGATCAGTTCGGATCCTAGAGAGCTTTTGCTTCAGCTCAAAAGTTGAGTGTTTCAGTGCTCTACTGTATGTATGAAGCCTGTGCAAACTACATTCCAAGGAGGCTGGAGAAAATGAGCCGTGCTGGAGTCAGGCTGACATCATGTCGTACCACTCCAGAGTCTCCACTGCATTTCTAGTGTCCTGTAGAACGCTCATTCTCCATTTGTCCAGTATTTGATGCAGCATACTCAAACCATGGAGAGTTAGCTTGGATAGACACGCTGCCTCTACTTGCTGAAGCTAAATGCAGACTTAAGCAATCTCCCATTTTGTTTCTAGGTGAATATACTATTCACTAAAGATACAACTTCTCTTCTATGGAAGCTGTTCAACATAGGCAATGGCAACACAAATTCTACTATGCCTCAGCTCGAGCCTGGGAAGATGCTTCTACAGAAAGATGATATAGCGCAGGTGTTGTTCTGTAGTCCGCAGATTCCCAGACAAGAATGAAGTAGTAACAGATCAAAAATTAACCCTATTCACTGAGAAAAATTAATCAGGGAAGATTTAATTGTCAAAATGAACTCTTTCATGGTAGTAATCGATAGTATCATCTAGTCAGGACACGGATAGTAAATCCAATGCTGAGCATTTTTCACACTCATCTTTTGAATAGAGGCCTCATCCAAGTCAGTGACTTAAATGACATTTAATTTAGCCCCTGAAAAAAAGCCAATAGGCATTTCAGCTGTCACTGATTATTTGAAAGAGGTCGGTTTCTGCTGTGTCATAAATTTGACTCAAGACTAGACTTGCATCCTTTATTTTTATTGAACGTTATTGAACTGTTTTCCTTTATGAGGTGCATGTCTCACACTAACATAAATTGGTACCAATTACCTCCTGGGAATAAATCCTTTACCCCACTTTATGTGGCATCACTCTTCCATGCAGTGGCTTTATGAATAACAAAACTATAGAGCACTAAAGGCTTTGTTTTCCTCAACAGCCCTTCCTTCGACAGTCAAGAACCATTTAGTTATACTGTACCCCTTGATCAAATGACGTATCACTTCAAAAACATGCATCTGTTTCTTGATGTCCCTTCTCTTTAAAGGTGCACTTCCCCAAGTGCTACAGGAATCCTGCAATTTACCCTAAAAGCAGTAGGGGTAGACAGACTAGATTTCCTCTAAAGGTCTTTTTGAGGACGGTCTTACTGCTGCTTGCTTCTACTCTCACTTCCTACCTTGTTTGAGGTCTGAAGCAGCAGAGATGGGTATTTCCTCAAGCAGCAGCACCACTGCTGAGCCTAACTCCTTCCCAGTGCCTCCCACTGCCTCCTGACAGAGATACCACCTGTGACACACAGCCAGGGCTAATAAGCCTGGAAAATCTTAGCTGTGACTCTGGTCCACACCTTTGATACTGGTCTACCTCCCCAGCTGGGAATCCCTTCTTTAGCTGGCATCTAGCTTTTTCTGTTAGAGGAAATGATGTCAGGATGAATTCCCTAAGATTACTGTCAGGTTTCTAATACTGGACTCTATGCTCGCTGCTATCCTAGAATAGTTCTCAAGGGTGGGGAACAGGATGGTCAGTAGAATGTGCATCTTTTGCAAAGTATGTGTCTTAACGTATGTTTCTTCCTTAAGAAGATTTACATTGAATAAGGTAATTCCAATTTGCAGAAAAGGAGGCAAGAGCTTTGAAAATGAATCCTCCCACTAAAGCACAATCAATCCTTACATAGTTCATCTAAACTGTGTGACAGTTGGAGGAGACTCAGGACACTGAGTCTCCTCCAACCTGTCACTGTACAAGTCCCACTTATAATGACACGTCACAAAATCTGTAGGATGGGCTGATTGTACAAACAATATTAACTCACCAGAAAGACAAAGGGCATTTGAAAAGGCAAATTTCTGCAGAACAACTTCATCGCTATCCAGCTCAGAATTTAACAAGATTTCTCCTTTATGAAGCTTTGACTGACCTCTGTTAAAACAGGATTGAAGCATCTTCATTGATTAAGCCACTAGCAAAGGCACATTTAAAGAACAATCAACAATACAAGAAAGGCTGGTTGGTTATTTTTATAAAGCATGCCGTATCTATATGGATATCGCCCCCACCGTTGCATTTTACTCAGGTTGAACCTGACAATAACCAAAATGAATCACCGAAAATTAGTTCCTCAGTCTAAGACTAATATTATGACCAAATTTTCTAGGTTGAAATGAAACTGCAGCAAGCGGTGATGGTAACTACAGCATTACTATATACACACAGATAATTCAGAGTAAGCAGGATGCTGGCCTCTCTCCTGCTCTCTATCTCCTATATTATCTTTCTGTTTCCCTTTTCTTCTGTCACTTTTCTCAGTATCACTCCCTCCCTGCTATGCTGGTAACTTCCCTGAAACCTCTACTGCCTAGAGTGCCAGCAGCAAGGAACAGGGGCCATGAGAGTCATTCAATTTATCATGTCAATCTCACTACGAAACTTGCATAAACACAAGGGAATATGTCAGGAATCACAAAATACACAACTGGATAGTACATACAGTTTTCAAATGGCCAGGAAAAATCAAAACCAAACCCCTGTCCTTTTATCAGGTTACCTTAAATACGCTCAACCTCATTAGCTCAGCTCCTAGCGTTATAGTGTTTTAGGAGTTGTTTTATGGTGCTGTTGGAAAATTACAGATAATTTTTATAATCATTTACATTAAGAAATATTTCTGTAGAGATCCTTTGCTCTCCATGATGAAAAAACATTATTTAACAAGGCAAGACAACTTGCCAAGTTTATCACTACACAGTATTCAAGCTACAACCTTCCTAGGAAGTGAAGTAGGTGCAGAATTACATCTTTATATATGAACCTAGATGGTACTAAGGAAAGCTTACACAGAAAATCCTTTCTAAGCTCAGATTTGTCTCAATAATGCATATTTATTTTTCTTCTATGAGCTACACAGTTTCTGTTTGAGATTGCTGAAGAACACGTTCACTTATGTGGTCATAGAGCTTCGTGATTTACAAAATCTAGTGCACAACCAAGTCACAAAGGCCATTACTTGCAAATTTAGCTGTTCAGGAAAATTTGTCAGTTTAGATTTACTGTTTTCTCCTTTCCTTATTTTACTTGTTTGAAAAAGAGTAAGAAGAATATTTCTACTAGCTGCTTTTGCTTGAATTTGTTTTAGATGTCTGTTAGCGTTTATATCAAGAGTGCCTGAAGATACTTACTCTCCTATTCTATAGTTCATCTCTTCATTCTCCCAGTGGACTAGTGCAACTTCATACGGCTGAATTTCATGCTGTTCTAGCACTTGCATGACATTCTTCATCTAAGAAAAAGACAATTGCACGCATAGGGACAGTTACCATGCAGCATACTATCACTCTACAAAGATCTAGCCTATAATAGGTTGATGAATGCAACTTTCATGCTGAAGTTATTTAAATAACAATGAATAGGTGTCCTAAGTAATGAAGTGATTATTAACAGTTTATTTCTGAAGCTACCTGTAGCTGTGTGGAAAAATTTGTGGCTGTGAACAACTGCAAGGAATCTGTGAAGACTAAAATGTCATTTAATGTCTGCATATATAAAACAAGGTAAGGATTAACCACAGCAGCAGTAAAGACAATGTGGATGTATTCAGTATTATAACAATACACTGTACAAGATTTTGGCACATGTCTGAGTGTGGGAACAAATCTTTAGGGTAAGCACATCGGGTGTCTGTTTCTGCCAAAATTACTAGTTTGCTGCTAAAATCAATAGTTTTGTTTCAGCTGCCAGAGGTTGGGTTATATTACAGAAATCCTTTACCACTACAGAAATCTGTAAAATTGGTTTCAGCTGCCCACATTCAACCCTCTAAACAGTTAAATGTGCAATTTTACTTGCAGAAGTAATCTCATTGTCATTTTATTCTCAAGTACCCTAAAACCTGATGCAGGAAGAAAGAGCCCTTTTCTCTCGAAACACTTTCTCCTCTGACATCTGACTTAGGATCCCTCATCCTTGTTCCTTTCTATGTGCTACAAGGCTCCCCTCAAAAATAATTCTGCAGTTAGAACAAATTCTGAACTAAAAAGAGCACTCACCTAGAGGTTTTTAAAAGGCATTTAGCTACACAACAGCCAATAAAACAAAAAAAATCCACCACAATACACTTGTGATGCCTGAATTCTTTAAAGGGATGAATCTTCTATTAAGTCATACTTAAACCACTCTCTTCAAAATAATAGATAAGTTAATCTTTTAGTGCAAAACTATATGCTAGCAAATTGTTCATGAAGCATATTCTCCAGGTTAAGTACTCTAAAAACAATCTGTTGGATCACCTGCAAGAGAGATTTTCTTTGCAGTGCTAGCTTTCCTCATGGCTTTCAAGAACTTTGGTGATACCATCTATTACATAAGAAATGGTAGCATTTTTCACTAAAAAACCCCCAGCCCTACAGCTGCAACTGCTTGTTTCACAACCCTGAATTTAATATTAGCATGACTAGTACCTGCCATATATTCCAAGAATTGTGGTAAAAAAGGGTATGAAAAATTATTTTCATTTTTTAAGGAAGGAAGCATCTGCTGTTAGGCCAGTGAGCTTGGCCACCCAGCTATGCTGTGTCCAGGGACAGTTCAGCAATGCAAACCTTGCTAAAACAATGCCAGAGTTAATAGCCAATCCACAATGTAGAATGCCAGATTTCAAGAGTATGTTCACTTGGATCCAGGTGCTCTAGCTGGCTTTGTGAAGTCACTGCTAATACAGTAATAATTATGCTGTTTATAATAGACTAACAGTCCCCTCCAGAACTACGACCGGCTCAGGCTTCCCAGGGCCAGCACAGAGCAAGATTTAACACAGCTTTACAGACCACAACCAATTCTGTGAAATTGATGTCTTATAATATGCATACTTCCAAAGTTCGTCCATTGCTCTGGAAAATGAGAAATTGTAATTCAGTGGCAGCTTTCTTTTATCTATTCAGAGTAATACAAAGGCTTCCACTGACTGATGTGATTCTTCTAGGACCAGCCTAATTTTACGGAAGGGACTACCTGTGACACAGTACATTTAATGAGATGTTCTGGATTCACTGAATGCAAACTCTTGCTATTACAGGCACTCACGTCACACAATTTCCTTTTTAAAAAAGCAGATGAAACTCCACCTCAAAACTAGTTTTGCTTTTTGCCCTTGCTATTTTTGGTGGGGAAGCTGTTACACAACCTCCCTATTCAGGTATTTGAAAACGGTATTTTACATTTTAAATTTCTATTCATGATCAGTCTGTAGTTATTGCTTCTTCTGCTAAGTGTCCATTAATGTAAAGTAGTTTTTCTTCTCCTAATAGTCCTTCTGGAGTACTTTTAAAAAGCACTTTTGTCCATTCACAGAGATTCTCTACATTCTGTTTTACTGAATTACTTTCAGTTTCTGTTCTACAGACCAGTCTGGCTGGGTTTTTTTTGTGTGTGTTTCAGTTTATTAAAACATGTGCATAAAAATACCTCCTCTATTTGAGCAAGTTGCTTGGAAGTTAAAACTTTGACTATGATTTCAATAAGCAGAAAGAGGCAGTTTTTCTCTTCTTTTATAAATAAAGATAGCAAAGGACCAAATAAAGTTACTAATGCTGACAAGAAAAATGTGATATCAAATCTTCAACGGTACTTAAGCATGTACAACAAAACAAGATTTTTCAGAGTACTCCAGTACTCATAAAATCAACTATATTAGTTATTATATTATCAACTATTAGTCAGCTAGTCTTCTGTAATACCTGTGAATCAGTAGCGTAGTTACAGCCATAGCATCCCAAGTGTGCTACAGGCAAGGTTTGAAGGGAGAACTAGTATCTTTTTGTAGGCCAGCTGATATACTGAAACCCCGCAAAACAGGCAGGGAATCAGGAACATTTCAGGTCCGAAACAGAAAAAGTGAACTCGAATCCAGAAAATGTTCACATCTGGAAATAACTGCTCTGTCTTTTCATTTACCTTAATGAAAATCCTCCTGTGAACTTCTGTATGTCTCAGTATGATCTATTTAATACACCGCGATTTCACATACTCTGCCTACAGGTAATATAGATACTTTTTCCCTTTGCATGTAGAATCCAGTTTTATTTAGCACAGCAATAAAAATAAATATATTAAAAATTAAAATAACTATAAACATATTCATAAAAATAGATATGCCTGTGGCATACCCCTCTTGGTCAGCAAAGAGCACCAAATTATCATAAGGGGTATGTCATTTCAATATCAACATATTTTAACAATAATACCAAGAAAAATATTCCTTCAAAAACTGCTAACAGTTAGAAACACAAAAGAGTATTAAAAAATTGCTTACCAATTTTATCTCTTTCAAAGTTATCCAAAAGTAAGTTTTGAATAGTTTTGACTTAAATGGCTCTAGAATGATCCTTTTCTTCTAACACCTTTTCTATTACATTAGTGCCTTTCAAACAACCATTCGCAGGTCGATTTTTCTGATCTACTACTTCAGTATGTATTGCTGCAAGAATTTTCTTTTTGTCAGTCTTACTAGATTAATGTTTCAGAATTTTGGCCTTAAGTAGAAAATGTTATCCACTTTGTATGTTACACATGTATTTGCTCATTTTGTGCAGAAAGTCAAGTTTCAAAGGTGATGCATCTGCAACCCACACACTGGAGAGCAGCAGCAGGCAAGCACCTGCCTCATCAGAAGAATCCGTCCTTCTCCTTCATGGAGAGATCCAAGCTCCCAAACAAAGCCCAAGCATGCTGGGCTTTGTGGGATTGACAAAACATCCGTTTACAACATTTTAACAAACAGTTTCGCTTTACTTACACTTTTCTCTTCCACATTCCAAAACACAACAGCCCCTTCCCTGTGAATTCAAGGAGAAATCAAGTGTAATTATACTGTTTCGAATGTATTTCGATGCAATACTCAAATTGTACAGTGGCAATTTTTGTCACTGTGAATCAAGAAACTTAATACCATCTTCAAGAACCTACGTAATACTTGCTTTTTAACCATACTTTAATTAAAAAGAGAAGATAAGTTATTTTTTAACCATTTAAATAATTCTGATTTTTTTTTAATTGTTCTGATTTGACAGTTATTCCTTGAGTTTCATGAGGTGTTATGATGCAATGATTTAGCAAGCTGCACTACTTCTTTCACACCATTGCTTTTAATAAAATAATGTTTGGCGCATGTTTTATAACTTACCTGAAGAAAAAAATCATGCCAGGATCATCTTCTTTTGCAGACTTCTCAGTACCAATCACCAAAACGTTTGCAGCATCTAGTTTGAAAGAAATTAAAAAATTGAAGAATTATTCAAACTTCTAAACATGATAGCTGTAAGCATAGAATTCCAGTTTAACAGTTACATGCTAACACATCAGTCAGTCCTGTATTTAATTTTTCTGATGGAAATGCCAGGAAACAACCACAATATCAGACTACACTGATTCTCTGAAGCATCACACTCTAGACAGACTCAGACTCTATGTTGAACCTCACTAGAATCTTCAGTTAATGAAATGTAACAGTTTTGAATAACAAAAGACTTAAGGGAAAGCTGATGCAGGGCATAGTAAATAACCAGAAACAGAATACAGAAGTGGACGGGCAATGTGAGGGAACAATGGAAGTTCACCCACAGTTGCAGAGAAATTACCCTTTAAATCTGCTTGCCTAGAAGATCTTTCTTTTTTCTATACAGCAAGGGACTAATCTGCACTCAAATTTTGCTGACTTTGCTTTGATAGTCAGAAACTTGACAGAGTGTACACCCAAGACAGGAGAGGGTACATCTGCATTCTCCTTCGGATCAGAAGGGTGCCTTTGAAACAAATGTTCCAGCCACCCTCATTTACCGCACTTCTGGTGTACACTGCAGAACGGTGTCAGAGTACACAAAATGGATTTTTTTTTTTTTCTTTTTTTTTTTTTTTTTGCATTAGCATACTATGGAAGAGGAGCTCCAAAAAATGCACCTATGGTACTCCCAACCACCTGCAGGACATTTGTTACAAAGGACTGGACTTGAGCTAATGTTAAGTAGAATGCCCCAAAACTTAAAAGATGCGGATGCTGGGTTCTCAAAACAGGGTTTTGGTTTTTCCCCATACAGATCTGCTCCACTGCACTACTCACTAATATAGATAAAGTTTGAGAAGGCCTGATGTGGTTTTGACACGAAGGAGGTTACTTTCCAGCATGAGTCATTTTGTTGCAGAACTACTGGAAGCTAGACCAGCAAACCCCCTACTTCTATTATAAAGTGAGACTCCAGAAAGAGAAATTTGCAGGGCCTAACATAACACCTAAGCCTTAAAAAGTTCAACCCCTTTGCAGAAAGATCACAAGCCAAGCGACAAGGCATCAAATTCCACCTGTGTACGAATTCCACTCTCTGCTTTACTGCTCAAGCCACAGAGGCCAGGTAGACTAAGGCAGCAGAGTGAAATGACCAAGATACACTTTTGCTAATACCTGAGTTGAGACCACAGTTGGTCTGTACTAACTCTTTGAAAGACTTATCTTTCATTTGCTATTCCAATTCAGAAGCACATGATTTGATGAATCGCTACAGCAAGTTTTGGGTGTGAAGTCTGAATTTACCATAGAGGAAACATTTGTCTGCATTTTCTCATTTGCCTTTTCAAGTATCACCCTTATCTTTATTTATCCACTCCAGCCAAAACATGCACAATTGAAGACAATTTGGTCCATTGTAAGTGGAGGTACGGGATCTGCCTCTAAAATGTTTTTAAAGAGATTGAAAACAAGAGTAATGCTTAGGAGAACACTACAAAGCAACAAATCCACACTATAATTGCTGATTTAGATTTCTATGTGCTAATATTTTTCGATTTTCAAAGATTCAATGTTTGAGTTGGTAACCAACCACTGCTACATGCACAAGCCAACCACCACAAAACATCAGATCTGCTGGCACAATCCAACATCCTTTCATCATGACTTCCTCCAAATTTTTGATAAACAGAGTATCTATTGTGAGGAGTCAAAAACACACCATGAAGAAATGAAAGAACTGGCAAAACCCACGCTCCCAGGGTAAAGTACCAGCAACAGCAACACTTACCCTGCAATAATTCACAGTTATGCTGGGGATTGTACAAAGTTTCTATCATGAAGCTGTGAAACCTGTGCTGGTTTTAATACAAAGAAACTACAAAGGAACACGAAGCCTATACTCTACAGCACCTTGTCTTTCCATGTTTGTCATTCTGTGCAACACGATCATTAGCAAAACTTGTGTTTAGAAGAGACCCACCAGAGTATTACTGCACTTGGATTATTAAGTGTTTGAGAGGCAGCCAGATATTTGATAACCTCTACTGAAATGCCCATAAACACTATCTGTCATTCTCTTAGCTTCATATAATCTGTTCCTTCAAAGAAAAAAAAAAAAGCATACTACTGCCAACATATGAAAATCACAGCTGTTCTAGGGCATAAGGTTCCTTCAGCTATAAAAAGCTCCATTTGTTTTTCTCTTGTAGTATATTTCAGCTATTTCCAAGCCATACTTTCCCAAATCTTAAGAGATAATTGATTCTGGTTTCCATACAAAGTATTTTGCTGAAGTCTAAGTGAAGCATTCAACAATTGCTAGGATATATTTGGCCCAATTAAAAAAAAAAAAAGTACCAAATGCATTCTCTTTACTAGAACTAAGCATTTATGTGCAGATATTTTTCATTTCACTGAGTCAGCTAGATTCTCTCTTGCATGCTTTCCCCTCCAACCCTCAGTGTTTTACATTAATAGAAGTGTAGGTATGGAAAGAAGATGCAAGACTTCAAATTACAAAATTTTTTGACAGCTGAACCACTATGGTATGACCTTACTGAAAGATTAATTAAAATAAAGACAACTTTCAGAATTTTTTCAGTTAGCAAATTTCTATGGAAATTCTTTGTATCAGAAAATTTCCAAATTTATTTTTCTTGCATGCATCTAATTTTTCAATACTTTTAGTGTAATCGTAATTGTGGGGGAAAAAAATTATCATGAGGTAACAGCAAGTGCTAGTTATATTGCTATTTTGAAAGGTTGAGTTGTGTTTTTTTTAAGCAAAGCAATATTTTTATAGGGAGTATGATTTATTCTAGGGTATTACACCAGAATAAGAATACACGAGTTATAAAAAAAAAAAAACATATACCTCACCCATATTTAATTTCCCAAGGTGTAACATAGCTTTTAATACGTTTCAAAAATCTACCTCTAGGCAAACTTGTTATTTCAACATATCCATGTGAAGTCAGGTCATGACACAGATTACCAAGATGATACTCATCTGCTGTTGCAAAGGCTGTGCACTGCATCAGATTCTGTGCCAAAGGAATAAAGATTTGAGTTAGGGAAAGGCTAAAGCAAGATGTTCATAACAAAATCGTTTGCCTCAAATTTATCATGAGAGTGACATTTTTCCTTTATTCACTCTTTTCCACAATATCATTGCCATGCTGTCCACCTGGTATACAAACACTCACAAGATTACTTGCTCCCTCTGAGTGGGAAAGCAAATCACAGACTGAGATCAAACCAGGTGACCTGAGTAAGTCGCACCACAAAACTCTGTGATAGAGCCAAAACATGATCCCTTCTTCCCTGAATGCCAATCAAATACTTTAACAGTAGAGCTACACTTGCTACTGCTCTCCCATCCTACAGCTTATGACATGCTCGGCTGACCACCGAAATAAAAAGCAAGACACTCCCAATATCAGCTTTAAGATCTATACTTTAAAGAGAAATGGAATTCAACTGCGCCAGCCTGCTTATCAAACAGAAGCTCCAATGGCAAACATCATGTTCCTCCAAGCAGAAAGCTCACTGCCCAGGTAACCCACTGCCCAGGTAACCCCCAGGGTATGAGCCACTGTGGCACAGAAAGCCACAGCTCTTCAGGCCAGTTGTAGGTGCCGCAGATCTGCAGCGTCCCCTCGAGCTGAATCTGGCACTACCACCACGGTCTCTACTGACACCACAGTCGAACAGTATACAACAGCCAGAGCTTGTCTCGATATTCCACAGTCGTAAATAACTAAAATGCCAAATTGAAACAAATGACTGGAAAAATCGTACTGACTTGCAATGAGACTGACTCACGCATGGCAAAGAAATCTGTGTAAAGATTTTCTTGATTAATCAAACAAGGCACAATAAACCAATTTATGAATTCTACTACTCATTTTAAGTGGATTTCTTTGTTCTGATACCATGTATGTCCCATGATAATGTTTTTCAGTACAATGTAGTGGAAGATATCCAGAAAGCAACATGTCTCATTGTGGATCAGTCACTTTCCAGCTTTTTGTAACTAATACAAATGAGGATGTAACTAACAACAAATGAACAAAAGAACTGTACTCATCTGCAAGCATTTATACCCACAATACACTTCAACTTAAAATCCAAATTACATTCTTGCAGCATTCATACACTATCAAACAGCAATGCTTAAAAAGGTGTTCTACTCCTTGGGGGGCCTGTTACCAGCCATCAGAATCACGGCCACACATTTAAACCTTCTTTACTTTTTTAATGTTAACATTCTGTTATCATTTCCAAAGCTTTGCTTACACATCATCTTAATTCAGTGATCACTAGCAGAAAATAAACTTTAAAAGTAATTACAATGTTCAGTGAGCAATTTTGTAGGTTTATTTCCATGACTATGGAACAGAATTGTGTTTTCAGTCCCCTCATTGCAGTACCTTTGAAAAGTTGCATTATCACAATTTCATCTGTATAAATCCATTCTCAATCTCTAAACTGCCAGTGCAAATTATATATTTCAGATTCTTCCAGAAAGCTCTGGTTATTAGAAGTACACATACTCTGCCACAAAACTCTTCTGTCAAGAGTTAAGGGAGCAAACTCTTCTAGCTAGTCTATAATCTGAAAATCTCTATCCTGCTCTATGCTTCCCACAGTTTATGACTTGTGCTATTGTTCATTTAAAGACAGATGCACTACAGGACAGACTTTCTGTCTTTTTGCTGCAATTTTAGTTGCAACGTAAAGACTTTACACCAGAAGTTTGCTGGTAAGACTACATGCCTGAAATAGTACTTTGGATATGCACTAGTTTGTTTTCTTACAATGCACTGTTTCACTTAAATCTTCATTAAAATCTTGTTTGATGTGGAACATTCAGATTGGGTGTAATTTGAGACCAAGACACCTAAAATATATGTGTTCACAGGCTCTCTAGATGTCTACGGTCCCATGATAGTTGGAAATATAGCCAAAAAATCTGTACTCTAATGAGTGATGCAGCTAATCCTAAAATAGATGTGTTAACTGGCCGGTCGACCTTAATCCCATGCTTTCTACTATGTCGCTTTCACCTGCAAACTTCAAAACAACAGAATACAATATCTGTACTGGTGCTAGAAAGAAACTCCAGTTACTCACCTCCCTCCTCTCTGCCTACAGCTGGGCCTTCATTGAAATTCTATTCAGAGCACAACAACCATCCGAGCAGCCATCCTAAGTACCTTAACAAGCCCTTTTCCATATCATCATGCCCCCAACAACTGCACAGGCTCATGGAACCATAATTCTCCTTAGCCGATCCCTTCTGCTTTTAAGTATACAAAAATTTTTAAGAAAGAAAACTTGTAGGATGAACCTAAATCCTCACATCACCATAGGAATCAGTCTTTACCTTAAGGATAGTAAATACTACATCTTTACTTGATTTTCAAGCTTTTTCTAGGCTATGTGGCTATAGCATTAAAATTAGCTCAGTGGCTTTTCATGCTGCCACAGTGTAAGTCATTGATATTGGGCACAATTTTATATGCTCTTGACTTGTAGCTTTTTGCCCAATTTGTAAGCCTGTTATTTGCATACTGATTAGAATAAACTAATTCTTATTTTCATTTAAAATTTGTCCTGTATTTAAAAAGCAACCCAGAAGACTTGACTTTACGAGATTAACTAAACTGAGTAGTGACTTAGTCACTAAGCCAGTTAAGCGCTTTCAAGTAACTCCTCCATCTACCCTGAAAAACTGGTCCTACAACCCTTTATCACTGCTGGTGCTCAGCACTCTGCCTGTAAACACACAAGAAGACCAGTGCTTAGGAGAGGTGGGAAGGACATCATCCATGGACTGTTCTGCAAAACAAAGGTGGCAACTGTCAGGCCCTTCCAGACAGAGAACACCAGAGATCCTCCAGGTTCTTCATGATAACCTTAGGAGTGGGCCTAGAGCTAGTGTCACAAGGGGCAGATAGGGACGGAGAAGAGGCAGCAGCCTGCCCCTGCGTAACTGCCTGGGCAATAGAACCTGCTGTGTTACTGGAGGGTTCTTGGTGACCTCCACCCACAAACAAGAAGGCAAGGTCAGTTTTTTCACGACACCAGGATTTAGGGAAAACCAATGGCATGCTGAGAAAACCCTCAAGAGTTCTCCATTTGCTCTACTTCTACTAGTCATCTTGCATAAATCAGCCACGTCTTTAAGTTATTTCTCTGTACTACATATCTATAAGGAAATACACAAACAGGTTAAAAAAAAAAGCTTATCCCAAAATACTGTCAGCCTGCAGTCAAGGCAACAGCCTCTCCATACTGCTGTAGCTGCAGCTATATATCTGACCAAACTGCATGGGGTTTATTCAAAAATAGCAGAAGTTTTTGTTAGGTCTGACTTTATGTGATTTCTGGCACAGCATTTTGCCATGTGGAAGCTTCCTCAGAAAGCGTATTATTTCAGTATATCAGGCAGGATTTTCTCCATTTCTTACCAATGGAAAAATAGCAGTGCCTATTACTTGCATACATACATACGAAAATGTCAAACAAAGAAACTGTTTGCATTCTATGCTGTCATTTAAAAGCCTCAAGAATCTAAAAAAAAAAAAAAAAAAATCACTTCACCCAACAACAAAAAGAAGCAACCTCTGAATGTAATGTCATAGCATGAATAACAAGCTTGAAAGATTACATGGTGTTCCAGGACTAATAGTCTTCACTTTCTTTTTCAAAGCAATGGGAAAATATGAGTGGGAACGAACTTGTCTATAATGGAGTCATTACGTTACGTTAAAGCATACTCCTGCTCATCATACAAAATATTAAATGGAGGCTTAGATGACCAGAAGGCAAGCATTACAACTTCAGGTTCTTTGCTCACATTCAGTAGGTCATATCATAGCCATATTTTGCAATGTGGAAGCTATTTCTGAAAGCACAATATTTGTTTCAGTCTCATCTATAATACTATTTTATTAACAATACTCTGGAACTCAGTTGTTGTAGCTTGAGAACAGTAACACTTCTGACACCAGGATCTTCCGTGGAGATCTTATATTACAGTATGCTTGAGGTCTGCCTTGGCTAGTATTGAGGCTTGCAAAGAACCATCTTAAAGAGAAACAGCCACAAGTAGGCACTGTTCCACTTAATCATACCTCACTTTAACCAAAATAGTTTGTTGCTGCATTTACTCTGCAGATCTAGGAGTCTGAAGATCAAGGTGCTATTTCTACATATGGAATAATCTTCCTCAAGCAACACAGGCTACGAGTGCACCTCAGTTTCCCATCTGAAACTTAATCTGAATATAAACTTTATACTATTTACTTTCATCTTGATTTCTGTCTGAGTGAAGCCTTAAAACTGGGTAGAATTGGACAAGTAAGGATATCTAGGGAAAGTTAAATTATTCTGAAAGTCAGACTTTGTTTCTCAATATTGAATGTGATTTGAGAGCACTGGTTAAAATTATTTGTAATGGATTTCCTCTTTCTGCTTTAATGACCACTTACCTTCCCTCCACTTTGTTTAGACATTGCTAGTAAATCATCATTTTATCTTCAGAATACCAGACACACTAGTTTCTATCAAGCTTGTTTCTGTTTGCAGAGTTCCAACACTAGGCTAAATAATGAAATCCTCCTCAACAAATAAACATGTTAATTTCATTAAAACGTTAGTCTAAACCCAAATCTGAATCTGAATTAAATTGATGAAGTTCCCTTAATGTTATACCAACTGTAAATTTTATACTTTACCTCCATATCTGACAGTAGTGGCTGGTTAGTTCTGGATGGCTGCTTGGTCCTTGGTGCCTTTGGTGGCCTCTTCACTGGCTGGTTACTGTGTTTTGGAATAATTTTACCAGCTGAAACAACCGAGTAAAATTGTGATGATATGTTCCAAAGCTTTTTAATACACTCTGTATTGAGCTTGTAGTTTTCCGTCATCGCCACACCAAAATATTTCCAGGATGGAAAAAAAACCTCCCCACTCTGATAATAAACATTTTTTCCCAAAGCCAATACATTTCCTTGGAGCAATTGCCAATTCTTGACTTGCACACAACGACTTGTTAAACAAGGGGAAGCAGTTTTCAAATCATACAAATTCCAAGATTTCGTTGTTCTGTGAGCGGTTCTGTCAACTTCATTATCCTGCTGTAATAGTGGACATCCAGTTTTATTAAAGCTTTGGCATCGGCATATTGTTGTTAAAGCGTGGAAAGATCTAGTCCAAAGGTGCAGAAGTTTCAGTCTCATTGCTTCCCTCAGAACTGTATTTAAAACAAACAAAATCATCCATCAACCTTTTGGAAACAAATAGTATTATTTCCCCCTTATCTAAAAGGCGACCCATACTCCTTTTGCATGTGTTACTAGTCCTAAACACATAAACATTGGTGGGATTAAGCAGCTTTTTTTTCAGTGCTGTGGAGATACTCTAATTAAGATCAAAACACATTATTGAGCTGTATGCTTGCAACTCACAGTGAAAAAGCAGAATTGGCTGCTATGTCAATATGTAAGCAGGCATCTTTTCCCTCTGTTGCTCATTCTGTGTAGCAGTCTGCGCTCTCAGTTAACCCCACTGACGAAATTACTCACGGGCAAGCACACACCTTAAAGAGGACATCAGACTCCATGAATCATTATTTTATATATAATAAAAACAACAATTAGATTACTATGTGCTTGTTTGGGAAAGTCACCCAAGGAATACACACACCAATCAGCATCGGCTGAAACTGCTGCATCGCAAACAGCCAAGCACAGCTCCAGCTCCGTTCGTCTGCCATGACTGGGGCGAGAGCTGAGTTAATCAGGTTACGGTCTTGATCCTGCCAGTACACAGGGCTGCAGCAGGGGCCGCAAGGCCTGCTGGCAGATCTACCTGTACTGAATGAAACAGGGACAGTATCCATACCCTGTTATTCCAGAATAAGAGCAAGCTTATTATATTTGCGCTACGTTGCATGAGCTAATCCAATAAACTTTAAAAGTATTCACAGACAGTAGACTGAATACCTCAGTGGGTGTGTTTCACTTGCTGAAAAATCGCAGCGTCAAGTCCCTGCCCCCATCTGCCTTTACTAACCAGGAATATTTCCCTCGTGACACAAAATCCATCTTCAGCAAGTTATTAAAGAGTCATTAAGTTGTGTCCTTTGAGAGAACTGCCAATTTCAGAATATTTTTTTAAAACTGTGTAAAGAAGGATCTTCAACAACATCCACACATTTAGCATAACAGTTCAAATAAGCATTTTCTTGTGAGAACAAATCATTGTGTGCAGACTGGTGCAAGCCCTCCATCCTGACAGGGATACCCAATGCTGGCACAACACATGCAAAAAAATTGAAAAAAAAACCAAACCACAAACCCAAACCTCACCCTGCCATAACTTAATGGGAGTACACTAATTCTGGTGAGAGAGGCATACAATGCTACAAAAAAAAAAAAAAAAAGGACATAAAACACCTTTAGGCTGCCACAGAATAAGTAATTGATATCGGACATAATTTTACACGCTTTTCCCTTGTAGCTTTTTTGCCCAATTTGTAAGCCTGTTATTTGCATACTGATTAGAATTAACTAATTCTTACTTTCATTTGAAACTTGTCGTGTATTTAACAAGTGATCCAGAAGGCTCTGCTCAGGACAAGGCACACTGACCTTTTTTAAAGGCCTGTTATCTCTGGATACCCAAAGAGACCTGAAAAACTCAGCAACTGCAACCCAAGGGGGCTGAGAGCCAGGACAAGGGGAGCAGCCTCCGGCAGAGGCGGGTCGCTAGCAGGGACTGACAAACGCCGGGCAGACCCGCCCTTTCCTGGCCAGCACGACCTCGTTGTCGAACCACAGCCATCCCGGGGGGGATTCTGAGCTGTACGGGCTTACAGCGAAGCTTATGGGGAAGCAGCGACCATATAAATCCCAGCGAGGAGCCCTTACGCCACCCCAGCAGCAGCGGAGGCTCCCAGCCAGGAGGTGCCGAACGGAAGCGGCGTGA